GCCACCTTCTCTCGGCCGCATCACTACCTTCCCCAAAATCCTACAGCAAGTCCTAGCCGCACCATCTTCCCCACTTCCGCTTCCGTGGCTTTCTCTCCAAACTCCTCTTTTCTCCGGCCCTAGCAACCCCTTTGCCTCCTGGTCTGGGAGCAGCAACCCCTTTGACAGTCCCTTGGTAGTCACCATCTGTGACGTTCCAATCTTCGAACGCATCCCGGTGAAGCTCTCCCACTCCGAGGCCAACTTCTATGTGTGGAAGACGTACTTCGGTCTTCACGTGAGAACTCTTTGGATGTGCTTGCACGAACTAGATGTCGGATACGTGAAGAATCAATTAACCAGTTTTGAAGACCAAAGACCAAAGAATTGCTCAGAAGACCCGAAGAGCGTCTTTGACTTGAAGACCGGTTCAGGGGCTACTGATTGTGTCCCGGATTGGGAGTCATGCAGAACACCGTCTCCCAGCTAGGTGAGCCGGGCTAAGGACCCCCATGTCGGTTCCTCAAATCAAAGTAGCCCGTGGCGTTTAGAAGGAAGGCTCCCAAAGATTTAGCTTATACTCTAGGACACTTAGAGTTCATCTTCAACACGTCCACCTTGTACGTAACCGGCTAAGTTGTAACCCTAGACCACCCGGTAACTATATTAACTAAGGGGTAGGGCTCGTAGATAACACACAACGATCTTGCAGTACACCAATATGTACTCCGTACTCCATAAAAAATCAATACGAACATAAGCAGGGTATAGGATATTACCTCTTAGAAGAGCCCAAACTTGAGTTAAACCCTTGTCTCTATTACCATCGCATCAAGGCTACTAGTTTGGGACCCCAACCCCAGATCCACCAGATTCAACTCCGTCATATAGGGAAAAAAAGGAAACGGGGCAAACATTTGATAGGTAGAGTTGGATGGCCGACGTTCGGCCAAGTGTCCACAGACACATGGGATCCGTTTTATGATCCTCGTTGGAGATCCCCTCACTCCTTCAACTATGTTGAATGCCACCACTCTTGCTCGCCCCTCTCTCGGCTCCAGGAACTATCTTTCACTCTCACCAGCCCTCCATCTCATATCTCTGAGCCAAGACCTTCCCACCCCCCTACCATGGTAGTCTAGTTCGGCAACTATCACAATTGCAGCGTCACTGGGGTCATAATATTTTGGCCATCTCGGTCGATTTTGTCTGGCAATGTGTGATTGTAGATATGTCGTCGTCCTAGTGGCATTGAAGATAGCTTGACGCCATTTGGTAGTTTTTAGTGCCAGACGTTGGAGATGGTTGACTTTGGGTTTGTCTTTGCTAAATGGCATGCACAACAACAACGGCACGGGCAGGAAGGCGCTGGCCGTAGTGCAGAGCCCAGACGCGCGGCGCTCAGGAGGCTCCTGCAGTCTCGCCTCTCCTTCCCATCCGCCCGTCCCTCTGTTTCGGCCGCGCCTTCCTGCCCGTGCCGCTGCCCTGCGCGCGACCCCTTTCAGCTGCCAGTGGCCGGCCGCATGGCACCCCTACCCCAAATAAAGGCACCAAAATACCGTAGTTTCTGACTTAGGTTTTGATTTTTTTCGCACTATGCTATCCAGTACATGAATATATTTATAATTTTGCACTAAGATTTAATTGAGAATTTCAGTGTTTGTAAGACCATATTGGTCTATTTCGTTGATATTGGCAATTAGTTAGGACGTTTGCATGTCATATTGCTTGTCAATTTGTTTGAGGGCGGACCACCCTGTTTTCTGATGCTAGCTCCGCCACTATAGTCACCTCTTATTCTATAGCTCGCTTCCCTTCTTTCTCCTCTTTCTATTCTCCAACTAAGCAAATACTTCCTCCGTCCCAAAATAAGTGTCTCAACCTTAGTATAACTCTGCACTAAAGTTAGTATAAAGTTGAGACACTTATTTTGGGACGGAGGGAGTACTATACAATATTGAAGTCCTTATAACCTGTTTATCAGGG